CACACTATATATATATATACGAGTGTAGAGTGGGCTGTCGGGGGCGAGGGGGCAGCCAACCCCAAAGAACCAGGCAGCAGCAGAATGACAATAGCAACAGCAGCCAGAGCCAGAGCCAGAGCTGGAGCTGGAGCTGGAGCCGGAGCTGGAGCCAGAGGACAGGACAGAGTTTCGGGACTGAGCGGACGGCCAAACAGTCGCAGGAAGTGAGCTGAGGCGACTGTCCTCGCGTGTGTCTGGCGGTGGCGGTGGCGGTGGTGGTGGTGCGATGGCATAGGTGACATAGGTGGCAATGACAATCGCAACCGGATGCTTCAAATCAGATATTGTTTTACTTTTGCGCCTTCATTCAGCATTTTGGATTGTCGATTGTCAGCGTGTCTGTGTCGCTGTTTTTGCTTTTTGTGCGCTTTTGTCTCGAGTAGCAACACCACCAGCAGCAGCAGCAGCACCAGCACCACCACCAACAACAACAACAACAGCAACAGCAGGCAGCTCGCTTGCAATTTGAGGCAAGTTGCGGATTAAATAAATGTGTCGCGACTGCGACTGCGACTGCGACTGCGACTGCGACTGCATTAAAGCTGTTTCGTGTTGCCTCTCTTGTGGCAGTGATGCTGCTCCGAGTGCTGGTGATGGGGCCACGACTGGCTCTGGCCTGAATGAAGTCTGAGTCGTAGATCTAATCGAATTTAACACCATCAACGTGGCCTGCGCTTGGAATATGTTTATGTTCAGTCGTTGACAAATTCAGTTCTCAGTTGGGTGCGCAGCGCTTAATTAAAATACATTGGTTCCACTCCACTCCACCAGGAGCTTACAACGGTGTCCGAGCTGGTCAATACCAAATCTATTAGTTGATAAAGTCCGTGCGGCAATAAGCCCGAGCCACGGCCCTAAGCCAATGGGACACGCCGGCAGATGGCCCGGTTATTGTCTCAATTGAAGCAATGGCCATTGCCAAGCCAGCAACGGTTCAATCCCGTCCCGGCTCAGTACGGGCCAAAAGCAATGCCAACTTCCGCTTGTCAAGTCAGTCGTCGATGCGTCGTGGAATGTCCCGCCTGGGCTTTGGCTTTCATTCATGAGAGAGCTCCAAATCCCACCGGGAAAATAAGTAAGAAAGAAATGCGGTGTGTGCGATCCAAACCTTTTTTTTTTTTTTTTTTTTTTTTTGTATTGTACGTTTTTTTTTCGTGTTGCCTGTTAACAACGCTGCCGGTGCTGCAGCAGACGCCGAAGTGTCAACAAGCCAAATTGACAGCCATTGGCAATGGCAAAACAGAAACGATTTTGGAGATTTGTCATTGATAAGTCGGCCACAGTGCCAAAACTGAAGAGGCCCAAGTCGAGGCCCCAGCCCAGTCGAAGGGAGGCCAAGTGCAGGCAAGTTTCCGTAGAATTCCGTCGTTCCGTCCCGGCGCGGCTCAAAAGGGATGGAACGGGGTTGGCTGCGGCCAAGGAAAAAGGCAAAGAGCTGCTCTCGACAGGATTGCTGGGCTGTGCTGCGGCTGTGTGTGGCTTTTCTACTCAACCATTGACTCTTGGCGTGCGGAGCAAATTAATTCACACCTTGCCAATCCATTGTTGGAACAACAACAGCAACGGAGCTCTACATACATATGCAAATTGTTTCTTACGAATTAAGTGAGGCTGCCCCGTTCCAGCGCCCAGCACTCTGCATCCATTGATGGCACTTTTTGGCAAGCTGGTACAAATAACTTCTCGTGTTCCACGACCAACAAGCCACATCCGAGACTGTCATGAAGAGGGCGAGCGAGAGAGGGAGAGGGAGACAGAGACGCAGACGTAGACGGCCAAGCATGAGTCCAAAACCAAATTTTGTAGGCAGCTCAGCGACTGCGTATCATAAATTAGAAACAAAATATGCTCATGTCTTCGTGAGTAGACAAAAAGTGGCACACGGATTGGTTTGGACGAAAAGAGAGTCTCATAGGAACATTACAATAATATTATGTCAGTAATTCGGCCCGGCTCGCACTGATGTACAAGCACACGTACAGCTCCCACTCCGCCACCTCCCCCTCCTCCTGCTCCTCCTGCCCCGTTGACTCCCACTCCTCCACAGCCATTGAGCAACCGGTTCGCATGAACAGACTCAAGAAACTATCGATTCGGTTGGGCATGCAAAGTGTCGGACGACGCGACGGCTGCTTTGTAGACTTTTTTGTGGCCGTGCTCCCGGTCCAACATTGTGTGGGGTCAAAAAAATAATTAATTTAAAATTCCCGCGGCGCACACCGAAACGACACATTGAAAGCTCTTAAAGGCCCAAATTACGACGATTGTACCAGAAACAAATGAAAGAGGCACACAATAACAATATTTCTGACACATTTGCTGTTTGTAATGCGATTGTCAACGGCAACTGCGACGACAGCCGAATTCGGCACTTCGATCGGTCTATGGTCTACGAGTATGCCAGGCATGAACCCCTTGAAAGACCTACACATGTATTCACATCGCAGACATAAATTAAATAATATATACACGCAGAAATACATACACCTATCCACATAGACATGACCGAACAGAAGCTCTTTAGTCATTGTCTGAGACATGCGTAGCCATAAATATAAATCGAGTTGGACTCTTTGTTAGATTTCATTATGTTTATCCACTGGCATATTATACATGAGCAGAGCTGCATAGACTAGAGAATTAATGATGGCTCGATTCGTGGTTCGAATCAATGCTTCTATGCTTCTCTTATATAACCGGGCCAACGGACTTAGTACAAGGGAAGTTCAAGATCTAGATCTGTAGAGACTATTTCTGTTACTACAGCTATATTTATTATATATTTCTGTTATACTTCTGTTTATTTCTGTTATACGACTGTTATACTTCTGTTATACAACTCTTATACCTCTTTTATACTTCTGTTATACTACTTGTTATACATTCGCCATACGTATATTTTGTACTATATTAGCATACTACTACTATTAGCATACTACAACTTTTAATCAAATAATTTACCAATTTTAGATTTCTACTATCATATTATTCTAATAATGTAATATTACTGTTATACTACTATACCACTATTATACTGCAGCTGTGCTACTCTTCTACTACTATAATGACCACTGTTATACCAGTTTTATCGTACTATTATACAACAACACCTTTAAATGCACCTATATAAACAATTGAAGATAGACCTATTATGATTTAATTATACTCATTCACGAAAGTGAATCAGTATATTGGTTTTGTGCAATGTCCGTCTTGCTGTCCGTCCGTCTGTCCGTCTGTCCGTCTGTCCGTCTGTCCGTCCGTCCGTCTGTCCGTCTGTCCGTATGAACGCAATCTATTTCGGCGCTATTGAAGCTAGAGACTTGAAATTTGGAACACATACTCGTGTATATCTCCGATTTATNTTTAGGGTAAGCATTCAAACTTTGCAGTTAGGGTAACGTTATCTCTTTCTAAAAACTGACCAAAAATGAGGTGTCTACGCCCAGTTGGGGCGTGGCAAATCGGAAAAACCTGTATATTCTACAGTATTAGAACGAAACTTAACTACTAAATTGTTGATGGGATGTGAATGAGTATTCCGCAGTCGGTAACGCCCGACTGCAACGTTCTTACTTGTTTTATATACAAAAAGTTCGCAAAGTCTATTTCCTAAATTGCCCCCGGTTTATGTCCAGAAATAAAAGATAACTGTGACAAGTCTTTTAGGGCATTTTGAATATATAAATGTTTATACATAGATCCAACACTTTGGACGAACGAGCGGTACGTTTTGATGTGGCCAGTTAAGTACGGGCATTTACGCTGTCCGGTCTCCAAGTGCGGACCACTGCGAATGGAAATGAACCTTAAGTACGTTCCCCAAATGCTCTGCCTGGCATCCTTCCTTAGTCGTATGCCTAACAATGTGATAGCCCCAACTGACGACGTGCATTCAATTAAGTCGGGAGTCGCACGTTGCAAGTCCAAGTCCGAGTGGAAGTCGAAGTCGCAGTCGAAATGGCAACAGTGTTAGCTCGTTTGATAAACGCAACTCGTAAATCATCGGCGAGGGCTGAGAGATCCTCCTTGAAGTACCGCTTTGGCTGATGTTGGCCACGTTTTCGTAGGCAGGTGCGGAAAATTACTTTTTATATGCTCCCTTTTAGTGGTTTATTATGACAAAAACAAACGCGAGGCCAAATTTGAGCGCACATGCGAACGGGCGAGCTGCCGAACGGGCGAACGTACAGCGGGACGGACGGCACATGCGCGACGTCCAAGCCAAGAAGTGCTCGCTTCTCGCTCTCTCTCTCTCTCTCTCTCGCTCACAGTGTTTGGGGTTGGGCCGATAAAGACACAGACAGAAAGCGCTATAAGCGCTATAAACATCATAAAACAGCTATAAAGAAGCCAAAACGAAAAGAAAGAGAGAAGAAAACAAACAACCGCTAGCTGCACAACATAAATCATCAAATTGTTAGGAAGATCCATTATAGCCCATTACCAACGCCAGCTAACAGCCAACAGGCAACAGCCTACACCTGAGCTATCGTCATTATCATCAGCATTGTCATCATCATTCGCCATCAGCATTATTAAAATGCCGTTTTGCTTAATTTTATTTTATTGTTTTTAAGAAAAATTCAACCACAAATACCAAAGGTGCTCAGCCAAACAGTCTCAACTACGAAACACCATTCCACTAATCGGGTGGTCGCTCGGACATACAGAAGACGAAGAAGAGGCAGGAGGAGGAGGAGCAGCAGAAGCAGCAGCAGCAGCAGCAGCAGCAGCAGCAGCAGCAGTAGCTGGGCCCAAAGCGACATCAAATACTCTAACAAGACGCTAACGAACACAATGAGTAGCAGGCGAATTCAAATTTATGAATGTGAATGAGATACGCCAAAGATACGAGATACCAAGTTCGACTTCCACTTTGACTGCGAGGCAGAGTCGCCTGAGTCGCCTGAGTCGACAGAGTCGCCAGAGTCCGTCCACTCCACTCCAGAGCCGTAGCTGACCGGGTGTGCACGTCCGTTTGTCGAGCGGCTCGCTTAGCGTTTCCTTGGAAGTGGAAATGAGTAATATTTTTTTGTTTTGTGTGTAAGTTATTCAATTTTGTTTTTTAATTAGATTTGGAGGCGTTGATAATGGAGGTGGATGATAAAGCTAATGCGTGTCATGCCGGTTCTGTGGCTACTGTTCAGCGGGCAAGCACACACAGTTTATGAACAATGAAAATATTAATAAGCCTATTAATGATCTGGTCGAAACACGGAAATACATACCGCCGCATAAGGCGGTGCTGCATGCACATATATGTCTGCATATTATACCAAAAATAATTTAATGAATGAACATTTTTTTTCTTCACATATTCGTATGCCTTCTGCCTTCTTCTACAATATATGTGCATACACATATATATATGTATATAGCCGTAAATATCGCTTATAAAGTCAGCTGAGTTGCATTTTCGGTCAGTTGATTCATTTTCAGCATAGCTGGCAAAATTTTTAAATTGTGAATTGTGAATTGAAAGCCAAACCGATATTAATTCATATCATTTCTGACCTCTTTACGTAGAGTCGAAGTCCTCTTCTTCTTACCTGGGCATAAGTGATCGAGGCTTGTATGACTATTTTATTACTCACGTCCATCCGAATTTCCTAGAGCACAGGGCGCAGCTGCCGATGCGCCAAAAATAGAAAATCGACCTGGGCGCGGCTGGCGGGCTCTTTCTTCTTTGATAATGATTTGGGTACCCAATGAAACCCCAAAGAGCGCTTATCTAGATCACATCTACTAACGGCCGCGCAGCCGCCGTCAAAGTGTCTGCCGGAACGGCTTCTGTCCCGCCAGCGTGACGGACTGCCGCACTCTCGCACTGCCGGAGGTCTTCTCAGTCGACTCGCTCTCGCTCTCGCTCTCCCTTTCTCTCTCTTCTCATGGTAGATTGGGGAGCGTGCAAGTGCTGGTGCGTAGATGTTCAAAGATTGTTAAATGATACTCAAACAGCAATTTGGAATTTATTTGAGGCGATATTAATCGCCCCGGACAAGGGTTACGCATTGTTGTAAAAACACACCTTGCCTTCGCTTATTCACTTAGCTCGAACTCGAAATGGAATTCTTGCTCGCTCTTTTGATCTCGCTGTCTCTTTCTGTCGGTCTGTATACATATAAATACATATGCAATATATTTTCATAGATGTAAATATATTTTCTGTGTATCTAATTTATTTCTCATTATTATCGTTATCATTCATATATTTATTTGATTATTTCTTTTTTAACTAGTCTGGAAATCCTTCCTCTTCCTTCCTTCTGGTCCCTTGCCTAGATCCGAAAGGCAATTGACTTTACTTGTACTTCTACCTCTACTTCTAGACGATATTTTAGGTATATTCTGAGCACTCTGATTGCATATATTATAGATTCCCTTTAATTCTTGCTATAGAAACACTAAAACTTGCTAAATAGTTGTGTTACTACGCCGTGCTTTTGCATATGCATTACTATTTAGCTATAAATTCGCTGTCGAGTTTTATGCAAAGCAAACTACAGTCGACCCCTTTGGCCCATTGACGACCCGCTTGACTCGTAATCGGAACTTTTAATGCGTCCAAATGTTTAACAAATTGTGAGCGATGTGACGAGGCAGAACTGAAAGGCTTAATGAGCTGCGTTAGTGCTTCACATTTCCACCTATAACTATTCAGTTAAACTATATACATATAGATATATATACATATAGATATATTTATAAATGGACACATGTTCGGTTAGCATTGTCTGCGGACAGTTTTGCATACATTTTGCGGCGCCCAATTGGCAATTCAGATGGATGCAGCTAACTATGTATATATGTATTGTCTATATAGTGTGTTAATGTGTTGTGTGTGTGTGTATGTATGCGCATACATATGCATATTTGGGGAACACATGTCAACATTCCATGAACACATGTACCAAGTTTTACACATACACGCAGCGAGCAGCTACATGCATGGATACATGTATATATCCACATGCAGATTTCAGTGGCTGGGCATAGAGTGTGAAAGAGAGTGAGAGAGTATGTCTTTATGTGTGTGTGTGTGTGTGTAGTGGGTGGTCTCTCAATTAATTAATTGCCTTTGCCAATCTGTGGGTGTGTGCGTGTGTGTGTGTGTGTCTGGCATTTGGGCAAACTGCAATTAAAACACTTACTAGCAAATGTGTCTGCATTGTGCGTGTGAGTGCGCGTGTGTGCGTGCGTGTGTGTGTGTGTGTGTGTGTGCGTGTTGAAATAATGGTGTGCGAACACAAACACTGCGCCAGCGGCAAAGAGGTCGCCACTCTACACAAATAGTTTGTGACCTTTTGGTTGTTTTACAAACAAGCCCCCAAACAGTTTGGCTGCCCGTTTCGCGCCTCAATGTCACACGCCTATGTTGCTGTTGTTGCTGCTGATGTTGCTGTTGCTGTTGTTGCTGTTGCTGTCATTATTGCTGCTGCTGCCTCTGCTGCTGCAGAACAAGAATGAAAACCAAAAAGACGCCGGTGTTTGGAATTGCAAATTGCCAACGGCCGGGGCCGTCGCGTCGCGTCGCGTCGCATCGTTGAGTCCAGGCCCATTTTAATTGTTTACATTTTATTTAGCTTTCAGCGCTTATAATTATTAATTTCACTGACACCCTCGCTCCCCTCCCCCCGCCAACACTCTTTCTTTGTCGTCTCTTTCAGCTGTGGAGCCCCAGTTGTGGGTGTTGTGTTATTGGCTTTTGCGAATGCAGCAGAAATGTATGCAGCAACAGCAACACCAACAACAACAACAACAACAGCTCAGCCAGCACCGGCACAGTGGGAGTTGCAAGCGCAGCCATTTGCAGCAGTGCAGCCACAGCTGAAAGCTAAAGCAATAAACAAGCTGGTTTATGAAAATAAAGCCGAGCATTTTATACACTTTAATATGCATACACAGACTGATTGCAGGCAGTGTTTTTTCCACTTGTTCGTTTGCTCCAATCCAATTTACGTCTGCAGCGAATGCACTTTATTTGTGTAGCTCGATTGAGATATGATAGAGATTGTATACAGAGTGAGAGATTTTATAAAGCGCAAGATCTGCCGACTGGATTCCAACTCATGAACCAGATATGGAAACTAGCTCTTGCTCGCTTCATTTAAAGGAATAAATTTGCAATGGATCAAAGTTAGCTTTAAGACTCCATATGAGAAATCACAGTTCGTATCAATTTCTGGTTTACTTCTTCGTTTGTGAACTACACTTTAGACTCAGTTTATTCCTTTATTGAGATATGCAATAGATCAATTCAAATATACTTCTAAGTCACCAGGGGATTCACTAGGACATTTTTCTCCCTGAAGCTGACTCTACACACGGTTTGATATATCCAAAACAGAGCGTCTTACGTTTAGCAAATTTCTATTAGTATTTTTAATTGAGCAATATGAAACGCAATCTATTTAGGATTGGAGCTTCAAACCAGCCTCGATAAATTACTAAAGTAACTCCACATTCGCACAAAGATAACCTTATATTAAGGTATTCTGTTTTCGTATTTTCTTTTACCCACACTTTATTCAATATTTCTACGGTATCTTAGGCCTAGCACACCCCACATATACCACTTATTTGCCAATCAAGTCTGTGCATGAGTGCTGGAAGACTACACAGTTGGAGGCAACGTCGTCAGTTTCGTTCTTTATTCATTGCGGGCAGCGCTGCACGCGACTTCTGGATCAGACTCGACTCAGGGCCGAAGTCTAGATAGAGCTGGAAGAGTCTGACTCAAAGAGTCGTAGATTGTCGACACGAAACGGACTATCACTAACCACTTTTGAGGCTGTCCACCGTTAGGGAGTACACGACTATATCTGCTGTTTTCTATGCATACAGCCTGTGCCACATAGATATAGCTAGACAACGAACGAGTCAACTGTGTGTGTGAGAATCGCAGAGGAAGGCTCAAGAGCTCAAGTGCTCAAGTGGAACCGGAGCTTACATCGTGTTCGAGCAGCAACTTAGGTGATAATTGCGCCTCCACTATCAGCTTTTGGCGTGAGAGACCGAATAGGACACGACTGCTAAATGTACTTATTAAAATTTCAGATGCTCAGGCAAACGTATTACCCATATATACTTAAGTCTATGTTAATGTTGGATTAAAATAGTTATCGTGTCTACCCAAACACAATGGAAGTGTTTTAAGCTGTTATTGCGTGTAATTATTTTGGATTTTAAATAATTTTAATGATCTACAAAGTTTAGTTGTAGTTGAGATTACTTAGATATAATAGATATATAATATATGTATATGCCCAAATACCTAACTCTAAATCACGCTCAAAACTCACTTTGGCTTATGCATTTTTTATTATTATTATAAATGGAGTTGTAGTGCCRTACAATGTCTATATGGTCTCCCGGACGGATCGAAGAGAATATACTTTGTTGTCTCTGCTGCCTTTGACTGTGACACACTGCGTTCACTGTTCGCAGTTGGCTGTACGTGATTACAGCGTGTTTGCTCAGATTTGGGCGGAAAACATGTGTAGCTCGACTGCTAATGTTAATGTCGATTGTAGAGCCGGGTGTGTTGCTGCCGTCCTGCATGCGAATTAGAAATTAATTCGCCCTTGAATGAATATTAAGTATAAGCGCTGAATGTCAGCTTGCGTTTGCCGCGTGTGCAACTGCATTTGAGTTTCAGCAAGTGGCGGTGTTCATGATTTATAGAGCTCGAAGAATTTCCCGAGCACTCAATAGGGACATTCCATTGATATTCCTTGTCCCCTAGAGAAAGAGAAGGAGAAAGACAGAGGACAGAGAGAGCGAGAGGAACCGTAACGCTTTGCTGTCAAGCGCGTTATACTTTCAGTGCGTTCCCACGGCATTTTACATAAGAAGTGGGTTGCAGTTGGAGAGTGAGTGAGCGAGCGAGCGAGAGAGAGAGAGAGAGAGAGAGAGAGAGTTAGGTGCTGGCACCTGGGCAATGGACTAAGAGCACCTAATTTAACCGGGAAACGCAACTCAACCATTTGGCAATTAACAGTTTTATTTCTATGAGCCACAAACAATGTTACCGCTGCTACCATCCGCAGTGCCAGTAGAAGTGGCAGTAGCTGTGCCAGTGGCAGCTACTCAGGCTCTTACTGCTGCTGCTGCTGCTGCTGCTGCTGCGGCGACTGTGGCTGTGGCAGTAGCAGACTGGCGCGCGTTACGCCTCCATTACACCTTGTTGCAGTTGTTACGCAGTAATTTTATGTCTTTTCTCGGAACAAAGTCATACAAAACGGCGCGGAACTGCCTTCCATCCAAAAGAGACTCTTGACTTTGACGTTGTCGA